TGAGGTGCCTGCACAATTCACCCTGCAACGGTCTAAGGGGACGACCTAGTATCAGGGGAATGGAGAACTTTGCTTCGGCCTAACTAGCACAGCACCAGGTCGACCAACCTTTTGGGTAGGATGTGAGTCCCCATCAAGTGTGCGTTTCAAATAAGTGGTTCCCATATTATTTTATCCTCAATCTTAGGTGTTTTTTCTTTAGGCCTAAAGAGCGTAATAGTATGCTCTCTAGGGCTAAAGATAAAACACTAAGAAGGGTCCTCAAAGTGGATCTTCACAATGCTTATTAGCAGGGATCTTTCTCCACCTCACATTTTGCTCTCAGCAAGCCGCATTAATGGCTGAAAAACTAGATGTTAAGGGAGACAGTGGAGGTGGAGTTACAGTACCATTTGGTGGAAGGCATTATTTGGTGGGTGTTGTGTCTCGTGGAACAGGTTGCGAAGATTTGCTCCAAGGTCTCAGTCCGGGTGCACAGGTACAATTTTTACCTAAACAAGAGTGATTTTTGCAAGTGATGAGTTTTCCTTTCAGGCACATACTGACCTTTCATTCTATACAGCTGATATTGACAGTGTGTTGAACATGAAAATTGAAGACCGTAAAACAAAATGGGAAAGCATAAATAGCAAAGTATAACTCCGAAGATACTCTGAAGAAGAAGCCGGTGAAGACGATGGTGACATAAGTAGTAGACTAATTGCCGAAGGTAATCTCATAGATAAAAAAATGATGATAATGTTGTAAATGATAAAAATATCGCCGAAGAATATGACGATGGCATTTATGAATATCAACCGTTAATAAAATAAATTCTATCCTGTTACCTATTTGTTATACACGCTATTTGACAGATGACAGATGTTTACTACCTTTCATATTTCCCCTCCATAAATGAGGGTGACAGCTTTTTTTGTGTGAGTTGAAGACAGCGACTACGAAACGTTCTAGAGGGGATTATATGGGACTTAGGGATGCTCAATGGTATGCTTGTGACAGAGAAAGAAAAATCCAACATGCAAAAAAGGAGACCCCTGTTTGGGCGTTGGTCTTCGCCCACAGACGCAACGGGAGAGACGGCGAAAGTACGGACGAGCTGCCGCAATGCGTTTTTTTTAGCCTTTTCATTTTTGCGCTGGCTGAAGAAGGAATCATTTCTAGTCTTTTCGTCGTTCTAGTTTCTGAGAAACATTTTTAACTAGCAATCATCCAGCCCCGCGCCATTACTTCTGGGCTAATATTTATACATTTTGCTGAACTTTCAATCTTTCACGGCGGCGAGTTCGACTTTCATCTTCCTTTACTCCAATTGTTTTCATTGACCTAGAAAACTTCTCTACTCTATCTACTCAGCTATCCGCCATGAGCCAAAACTATATCCATGTGCTGTACCCGTTAGTGCTGATTAGCATGTACTGCCAGTCTAGGTTGATGTCACGATTGATCTGAAGTCGGGAATCAGCCGTGATTTGCAGGTATGCTAAGAGGAGTTTGGTCTTTCCTTGAGTTGCATAAAGGACTGAACGAGGCATCGGTTTTGAGGTTTTGAAAACATGCAACAGTTAAAATATACGCCATAGAAAATTAGTTCCACTTACAATTTCGCAACCCACACCTTTCTACCCACCGTAGAACAGTCCAAGTGGGACCTATGCTTTACCTTTGCCACATGAATTACCAGTGCTGACAGCCAGCTTTTACGAAATAGCTACGCTCCTTCTCCAAATATTTTTACCAGATTAGTCCCCCGTCAACCGCCGGGACCTTCCTTTCCTGCGCAAGCTTTCTATCCTCCGCTATGGTCCCTTCCTCCTGTGACACCAACACCTCGTGGAAGTGACGCGTATGCAACACAATGGTGTTTCAAACAGTAGAAGGGACACAATCATGATATGACGGTAGATTTTTCGCTTCCCTTCCTCATCCTCCCTTCCTCTCTCCACTGCCCTCCAGCTGCCACTGCAGCACCATGTGGAATGAACGGAAGTGTGCTAAGCAGGTGTTTATATAGCCCTGAGAGTGTTATCACAACTATCTACAAAACATTGATATCTCAAATCCTGTAAGCTACCCGATTTGTTAGCGGTTTGTTTATCCCATGAGCTTCCTTCTCACTCACTTCATTTTGCGGACGGACACACATACACACCGTATAA